TGTATAGACTCTCGCATATTTCGTCAGGCCTGTAGATCGCTGTGTTTTTCGCAATCCCGTTAGATTTTTTGGTTTTGTGTTAAGACAATATCCTTTGGATTCGTCTGCAGACATTACCGCATGAGCACAAAACCTTGTAGAAGCCTGATTTTGACGTAAACATGCTTACACTGCCCATTACCACATGCATAAACATGCATCAACCTTATGCATCTAAGGGAACACTGTTGACCACACCCTTTTTGTGCGTCAAAAGCGGACAGCGATCCAAAGACGTCTTTGCGTCATCCAACATTTTCCACTTACAAGACATTCAGTTTCCAATTGGCTCGAGTAGCGAATCCCACCCAGACAACTTGTGCTTGAGAAGGGAAATTCAAGTCCCTCGACTCCTCTTTTACCACTTCACAACCCTAAACAAGACTCGAGACGGACAGATGTGCTGGTTCAGATCACAAATCCCCTCGCGTCGCCTCCCATCATCGGAACCCATGTCAGGTAGGTGGGCAAGAGAGTGTGCAAAACTTGGGTGTTTGTCATGGCAATTCGTGTTGTTTCTAAGCCGAAATGGGCATCTTTTTGCCTATTATCAAGCCGCCTATTGGCGCAACTTCGTTTTCGTTTGAAGAAGCGAGTAACTTGGCCTCACCAAAAAAAGAAGAAGTGGCCTGCGATTGTGATTGCAAAATGTATTCTATCGAGTCCTCAAATGTGTCCAAAGGAAGCACCAAGGACCTATTTTCGCATTTAATTGTCGCTGAGGCCAATTTACAAATCACTTTCACTCACTTCGACAACCGAAATGAAGGCTACGTCGGCAAAGATGCATTAAAGCCGTCTTCTAAATCCAACACCACCTCACCTTTTATGCCCCACACCACAACAACCCACCTCATTATTGGAGGAGTACTTTTCACAGGCCGTGACAACCAGCTCGACGACTTCTGCCTGTAGCTCGTCGTTCAGCTCCGAGTACTGCAACCGGCAGCAGCGGCGCAGAGCGGAGACAGTCCAGCGCCAGTGGAAAGTGCGCCGGTACCAAAAGTGGATGATAACAATCGGTGGTTCAATGGAAAAAGGGATGAAGAGTGGGGATGAACAGGTGAATTGATGCAACCTGAGAGGGTGGGAGTATCATGTGAAAACTAACATGCAGAAATTGGTCTCTTCCTTCTTGCGTTGACGCCATCATCATTTCCCGAAGGTAGTGGAAGTCTATTTTGCGGGACACA